CACTTTGATCGAAGTACGTAACAAGTGCGTTCCATGATCGGTAGACTGTTTGCAAAGAATCGTAAAATGCAAACCAGTGCACTGCATGAATCTCCTTTATCTTCAGCTCGGGGCTATCAAGAATTTTCTCCATCCCCTTAAATCGTGATGAACGGAGTGAAGACTGCTTAAAATAATAAAACAAACTGGTGAGAATTCCTCTGTACTGCTTTAAATATTCAACACCGCCGGCTGCTTGGCTGGTACATAGCGCAAGTCGGTGAGTGACGCAATGAATATTTATTAAAAATGGATTTGTTCCTTTTAGCTTGGCACTAACTAACTCCATTACCGATGCTCCGTCACTTCCCAGGCCCATCATTTTTCTAGCATCGAGTTCTCTTTGCTGCACTGCGACGACAGTTTGACGGTAATTGATGCCGCATTTTTTTCAAGGAGGTGATAATTACTGAGGAAATGAGATTCCACATCGAATCCTTCATTTACCATACGTCTGTATGGATGCTGAACATAACACAGCTCTGAATACGTTTCGAGACTTTAGTTATTATAACGTTGCTAATTGTTTGCTGTAAGTATTCGGCTGTCGCTGATGACTGATAGGTAGCATTACCGCCAACCTGCAAGTTGCCAACATGTTCTCAACCAGACTCGTGCAATAACTCTAATAACGAAGAATATTTATCGGTAGAAATAGCCTCTTTAGCTAACCAATATACGGTTTTCATTGCTTGCTTTTTGGTAAAGACGGTAGAGACGGCTGCTTCTGTGTCCGCTCGCATTATCGTAGCTTTTACAGCTTCCAAATGCAAAGCGCTGCTGGCGTGTCGTGCAACAGTCGATGTGCGGTAGTTTTTACAACCGTCGGCGTCAGTGAATGGGTTTCGCTTTCCAGATTTGAGACATATTCTGCACTTCATGCCTGTGCCATCTTTCGGTTGTTCCAGCCATTCAGACCATCCCGGTTTATTGAGCCATGACCACTGGAAATTACTTTGCTTTCCCCTTTTAGCAGGTGGCGACGACGGGTCTACACATGACTCCAGATCGAGCGGTCCTACAGCGTTGTCAGAAAAATAATCCACATGACCGTAATGCCATAGCTGTGATGAAGGATGGAAAGAAAGTAGCAAGTTTATGACATGATGTCTCAAAAGTGCTAGCTCCCGTTCACAGTCAGCTGGCATCAGTGTCGCTGGGTGTATATGATAGAGAGTACGGTAGTTGTGCAACCAAATTTGCCGAGTTCGCAATTTTTCGCCGATAAAAAAATAACTAAGCAAAAACTCAGTTTTTCAGCATTTTTGTAATAAAGACATTATTCTCTATCAATAATCCGCCCAAAATAGGAACATTTCTACTAATTCTTGTGTTTTTTCGACGTTTTTCGAAAAACCTACGATTAGGCTGTGAAAGTAGAACATTCAGGAGGGGGTGAAACAGAAGAGCATCGCCAGGCGATGGACGCTTTTTGGCAACGACCGCAAACGTATCCGTGTCCAGCCATTGGTTGGCCACGTAGAGGTCAAAATACGCGTTCTATTTTTACGCGTTAAGTATGGATTATTGCAATATTGGATTCATTGTGAATGAAGAGAAAGCAGAATGTGTGCGCTACATGCTGCATGGTTCATTGCGTCATTAAGTTCCAATGAGTTTTTACGTAAAAACACAAACAAAACTGCCCTTTTCAGGGCCACCACACAATCCAAAAGAGAACTGCCGTAACAAACACACTATTTAAATAAATCAAACTCGTTCGTTTTTGACAAATAAAACTTTATTGTTGACCTCATTCTTGACTAAAAATCACCCTGGGCGTTTAACCAAGGATGTCCCTAACATGTAACTTTTGTGAAAACAAGGGGGTGGGCGCTTGCCCAGGGAGGGGCACGTGCCCGGGGTAATACAGTACCTCTGTTGGAGGGAACATTTGTATATTATATACACAAGTACTCACAAGTGTCAGCAACAGTTGCATATTTAGGACTTCATATCATTTATTTTTTTCCTGATTTTAGAAATATACATGTAATTACAGCTAGAATAGTATCCATCTTAGCCTAATTGAGGCTCTGATTGATACAGAACTCTATGGAATAAGAATAAATTGATTGCGTTTTCTAACAAAACAAAACCAAAAGGCCATTTTCAGGGCTATCGCATCCTCCCAAAAGAGAGATACGTACCAATCATCACATGATTATATTATATTCACACAGAAGTAATAAACTGTCACATATTCTCAACACAACTGTCAAATTTCTTTGACTTTTTGCAGTGTATGAAATTTGTCAAAATAGTTTACCAGACTACAAATTTATGTTTTCACTATTTTATTCATTTTCAATCTTTTCACTACATTCCATTCAATCATTGTCACTGCAGTGACTTTCATTCAAGTTAGAAAAGTCTGATCTATAATCTGAGTGAGCATCTACATCAGCCAATCTAGTAACATTGGAGGCCTCCACTACTTCCTGTTCCTCTTGAGCAGTGTTTACTCTAGGACGCGCGATTGGCCAACGACCACCCTATTGTGAACTTATTCACACTTAAACCTTTGTGTAATGACCTCCACGGTTTCAGCATAAAACAATAGCTACTTGCAAATCGCTTAACAGGAAAGTGGCTACAAGTTACTTTCAGACTACCGAGTACACAATCTTTCGGGCTAATCGGGAATAGGGGTGTCCAGTGTAATTATCCAGATGAAAATGAATGACTTTTATTAAAAAAGACCTATTTATTGTACAATTTGTAGGTTTGCTCTTATGTTTTGACCTGCATGTGTCCGTGTGTGCGTACAATCTGATTCAAGATGGCCGAATGGCGGTCATTTTTGTGCTAAAAATCATCAAAATCAAGCATTTTTCGGCTGTTTACAGATGGATTTTGTTCAAAATTTGTATACACGTTAGACATTATAGGACCTTGATGCACATCATTTATTTTTCAGATCAGATTCAAAATGGCTGTCTGGCGGTCAATTTGTTTTAATGAATGGGTTTCTAGAGCCATATCTCCGACTTGTTTTGACTGATTATGTTCAAATTTCAAATATTCATTATACATCATGTCATAGATAGACAGATATATTGGTTTGACGATCCTATTCAAAATGGCCGAATGGTGGTCATTTTTGTGCTAAAAAATCATCAAATCTTAAGCATGTATGGCATTTTTGGATGGATTTCGTTCAAACTTGGGACTATATTAGACATTACAGGTTTCTGATGCACATCATTTATTTTTCAGATCAGATTAAAAATGGCTGTCTGGCGGCCATTTTGTTTTAATGAATGGGCTTCTAGAGCCATATCTCCGACTTGTTTTGACTGATTATGTTCAAATTTTAAATATTCATTATACATCATGTCATAGATAGACAGATATATTGGTTTGATGATCCTATTTAAAATGGCCGAATTGTGGTCATTTTTGTGCTAAAAAAATCATCAAATATCAAGCATTTCTGGCATTTATGGATGGATTTCGTTCAAACTTGGTACATACATTAGACATTACGGGTTCGGTTCCTGATGCACATCATTTTATTTGTCAGATCAGATTCAAAATGGCTGTCTGGCAGCCATTTTGTTTTAATAAATGGGTTTCCAGACCCATATGTCTGACTTGTTTTGACTGATTATGTTCAAATTTTTAATATTCATTATACATCATGTCATAGATATACGAATATATTGGTTTGACGATCCTTTTCAAAGTGGCTAAATGGTGGCTATTTTTGTGCTAAAAAAATCCTCAAATATCAAGCATTTCTCGCATTTATGGATGGATTTTGTTCAAACGTATAACATACATTAGACATTACGGGTTCCTGATGCACGTCATTTTATTTTCCAGATTGGATTCAAAATGGCTGGCTCGTGGCCATTTTGTTTTAATGAATGGGCTTCTAGAGCCATATCTCTTAAATGCTTTGACTTATTATACTTAAATTTTATATATTCGTTATACATCATGTTATATATATACATGTATTCAAAATGGCTGATTTTGAATGCTGTTCCAATCTCTCAATATGGACAAGTACTTGTTTGATGATCAGATACAAATGTCAATCATTTTATGCAGGTTCGTGGGCACTTGGGAGTGGAATTTTTTTTTTTGCTTTTTATTATCCAAACAGTCTTGGCTATAGACTGTTGAAATTTTGTAGAATTGTGAATAGTGGAACATACTCGATTTTAAAATACAGATAACAGGTACAAACATTCTCTCTTTTGAATGCTTAGCAAGATTTAGCAAGGCTGTACATAAATAATAAAAAAGAAACATGGTGAAAAAAAGAAATGACGAGATCTCCATATTATTATGCACTATATTTAACTTTTAACAAAACGATAATACATTTAAATTTGGAACTGTTACAGCCATTTTAATTATGAGCATTAGCAAACTTCTTACTGAGTTAATTGTTATGCAAATTAGCAATTATCTCAGCTTCTTTTTAGTGCACATCCCAGAACTTAAAAAAAAAAAAGCTCCTAGACGCTTTGACCTTTTGTTTTGAAATGTTTTTGGTTGAACAGTGTTACAACAATCATACAGACAACTAGCCTGGGTGTTAATTTATGCATAAACTTGAAGTAGTGAAATTTGAGCTGCTGCCCTGCAAAATTGACAACTGGTAGACAGTTTTCAAGACGGCACTTTCTTCATAGTAAACAGATGTACCCATAACCCAATTTTGACAGGAAACAGAAGCATGGTTTAGAAGCTAAATTTTTTTAAATCACTTTTGACCAAAAAATCACATTTTTGTGCATATTTCAAATTACAGTGTCCATAAAAAGAAATACTAACAAAATTTTAGAATTCATACAATAAGCTTTCCGAAAATATATAGTTTTGTGGACAAGGGAGGTCATCTTGGTTTCCTAATTAACTAATTAAAATACCTGTCAGGTAAACTGCATCTCTACCTTAATGTTAAAAAATCATATTCCTGACATGGTTATATTCCAGCTATATTACTATAAACAAAACTATATATCATAAATTTTATAACTAACAGGGACTGTGCCATGCATGGCTTGTTTATTTAGCTTATGATCTCCCCTAAGATCCCGCCTTTATTAATATTCATGTTTAAATGAATAAATTAGGCCACCTTCATATAAAGACCACCTGTCTATAAAAGACAGTTTGGCTCAGTCCACTGACTGTCCTTTATAGACAGGTTTGACTATGTCACACTATGATTGTAACAATGTTGGCGCCTGTGTTCTTTTATTGTTGCGCAGCCCAGCCAAAATAAAAAATCAAACAAAAAAACATGATCACTGACAATGATAACAACACTGTGAATTAGGGATGCTAAACTAACCATTTCTCGCACGATAACAACAAAATAGTATGACTCCCGTGATCGATTCAAACTGCTGTTGCCTTTGAGGTCATGGAAGATAATAGGAGGTCAAATCCGTAAATGGATGTGTTTTGTTTCAATTCAATTCAGTGGTCGGTCTGAGGATTCAGTACGTTCAATTACCCACCATAGACTCCGGTCAATCAAAATGACTATTTTGAACTGTAGGCATTAATCTGCGACTCGGCCAATGACAGAGAAATAAATCTAGGTCAGGGGAAGCCCCATGACCTCAAAATTTTCCGTCATGTCACAAACCATGTGACCGAGGCCATGAGGTGCGGAAGAAACTTTGTGGCCCAGCCTGGAAACCTGCTTTTTTCTGTTTGAGTTTTAGCTTGGGTTGCTGCTGCTAACACGGCAACCGATACCGTGGCTGGTAGGATAAGTTTTAGTAAAAATAAAGTAAAAATCGTGTACTGAGACATCGAGTAAGAGGCCCGCCAATGGAGGTATCGATATTTCGCATTCTAAACATGTCTCTTCCCGGGAACCTCCCGTTCCCAGCCACGTCTCTCCCGTTAATTGGGATGAAGGCAAGGCTCAGGCTAGTGGCACCGAGTCTCCACAGAGATCTCGGGCACAGAATACCAACAGGGATGCTGGCAGCCAAGCCTTCGATTTTGGGGCAAAGCAATTGGGACAGGATGCACATGTTGCGTCTCCCTCTGCGATCAGCCAGCCAGGGTTCGCTGTGCGGAACAGGAATCAGGAATTTACCCTTGTGTCTGGGCTCCACCGTGGGTATCAGCTCCCTTCCTGCCGACCCACAGTTGTTCCCAGAAAGGACCGACCCTGTCATGAAACGCACAGTCGAACATGCTCTCGCTCATATTTAGGCAGGGGGTTCTCAGAACCCGCCAATTCACATAGTTCATACCCACCAGAGACTCCAGGACAGGCCAGTGCAAACCCTACAAAATGAATGTAGACAAAACACACCGATTTGTCAGATTTCTACCTTCATTATTCTCAGAAAAGCAGCCAGTTTCTAATCAGTACTTGTCAATAAACATGAGTCTATCAGCTGACATAATTATACACTAAAGTACGTCCTCAAAAAATCACATTTCAGATAAAATGTGGTGAAAAAAAAACATGGGCTAAAAACAACCATATGATTTGAATGCTACTAACTAATTAACAGATTTCAATCAAACTTTAAAACTACATTATACATCATGTATTCTTGTTTTTTGTTTTGTTTACTATTTAACTAACGAGGACTCTGTCATGTCATGACTTGTTTGCATATATACGTATAGTATGCAACATACTTTTGTTCAGCTGACAATGATACTGTTACTTGAAACAGTTAGTGTGGCCTAGTGAGGTGCATGTCTTACTCATCTGTAATTTACTGGCATAATATTTTTTTTATTTAATAAGCTTACTTCAAAGGTAAAAAAAACAACAATTTTTATTGAAAGTAAAGGCACATTACAAATGTAAATTCTACATGTGCATGTGCAAATGAATTGAATATAACCATGTTCTATGGATTTTTGCAGTAACAAATGCAAATGTGATCTTTGTGTTTGACAGCACTCATGACTTGTTCTGAACCTTCCTGTTGATAAATCCAATATATTGTTTTATTTATAGGTATTCATTAATGCAGAGTATGAGTCGACAACCAACCAACGGGAAATCCGCTAGGGGTCCCACCCCAACTGGTGCACCAACTCCGGCATCAAACCAGGATCTGGCTAGTTTGTTTGAGTGTCCAGTATGTTTTGATTATGTGCTTCCACCAATTTTACAATGCCAAGCAGGACACTTGGTCTGTTCAAATTGCCGACCAAAGTTGTCATGTTGTCCAACATGCAGAGGTCCTCTAGGTAGGTCTTTATTGCTTAACAGTTAGACAGTTTTGTAGATTCATTTGTGATTGAGCTTTCAGTATCTTGGGGTGTCATGAAGCCACTGACTCGCATGCAATAGTAATCAATACTATCCAAATCACAAAATCAAAATTCAGTGTGAAGCATTGTTATTAGGATTGGTCTGAGATGTGCTCCAGAAACAGGAATCAAATGGCAATGCATGATAGTTTTATTGCAGTGAAGACAAAAATAACTTTGTTATTAAGAAACAAAAATCCAAGTTTATACTTAATATCGGCTTCATTTTAGCAATATTTTTTTTCATAAAATTTAGAAAAACATATTGTTACGCTCTGTTTTATTAAGTAACTATTTTTTTTGTTGATGCTTGTTTTATGTAATGCTCTACACATTAATAATAAGAATGTCTTTGCTTGTAACATCCGCAGGAAGCATAAGAAATCTTGCAATGGAGAAAGTGGCACAGACGGTGATGTTCCCATGTAAATATCAGTCCTCCGGATGTCCAGTAACGTTACCTCACACAGAGAAGGCAGACCATGAGGAAGCGTGTGAATTTCGTCCGTATTCTTGCCCCTGTCCGGGCACCTCATGTAAATGGCAGGGGTCATTAGATGCAGTCATGCCACACTTAATGCATGCACATAAAAGTATTACTACATTGCAAGGTAAGTTTGTGTGTATGTATTGTTTCTCTGTCAAACATTTCATGGAAGAAACTTAATATAAGGGACTGAGAATAATTGAAACATGAAAATTGAAAACGTAATCTCTTCATTTAGGGGTTGATTTCTATTTCTGTTTGCATAAAATTCTTCCATCATTGTATTGTTTTTTATGTGAAAATTTTAAGGAAAAATCTCTGGTTAATTATAGAAAATTTCTATGTTTTCAGAAAGTTGTTGTCAGTATTTTTGTAAAAATCATTAAAACTGAATGCAGAACAGTTTACTTCAAAAATACAAAGTATTTTGAAAAATTGGTGACGAATTATTTTATATTTTTACAAACTGCAGTTCTCAACAAACCTCTTTATTATGCAGACTGACATATTTTTGTTTATATGTTTACCTCATAATGTCCAACTGCAATACATATGTGATTTTGTTTTCAAAAATGAGGTCGGTTATTTGTGTTAAACTCCCAGTATGCATAAAAATTCTCAATGTTATTGTTAAATTGTATTGATAACCATGAATAAGTGGTGGTATCTGCTGCTATGATTTTATGGTAGGCTTGTCTTACATTGTCATATGCTACAACAAATGCATGTTATTGCTTGTACTGATCACCGTCAGCATTACATATACATGGAAGTAAACATAAATTTAGTGTTGTACATGTATTTAATAAGTTGTTTCAGTATATAACCTCTATAAACTGTGTAATCACTATTACAGCCGCATTATAATTAGACTTCCCATAGACAACAATGTAGAAACTTGAAATGCAAAGCTATTTTACACATGCAACCAATAAGTCGACTACCCACAGTTTTCAAAAATTAAAAAGAGTTGTTTATTTAGTTAAATCATTTAGTGAACACCATCATGATCACAGGTGTTAAAAGTTCCCTAAACCAAACTGATACATGTATTGAATAATATTAAAGAACTTAACCC